CAACACGAGGGAAGATGTCACGGCAGGAAAGGCTGCTACCCAGAAAGGTTGTTGGAACTGTGGAGAGCAAGGACATATGAAGAGCCAGTGTTACAAGAATACTACCAATAAGTCAGCCTCGGGGAAACCAGTAGTGGTTGGTGTCGAGGGACGCCCACCTACCCCCATTGTGAAAGTCCCAACAACTAAGTGTAAAATGGCAAGCACACATAGTGTCTTCGTGACAAGAGAGCTGGATGGTCAAAAGTGCAACTTTGTCATACATTCAGCATCTCAGCAAACCCTTGTGAAAATCAAGGTGCTGGATCCCAAAGGAGTACTAGAAGCCATACAGAAGCTCTATGGTGTGACAGGACATTATACAAGGTTGTGGGGACCAGTGTAGGTAACTATTGAGCTCATGGGCAAAAGTGTTCATGTTCAGGCACTTTACAGCAACAAGTAAGCTTTGTTCAGCCATTTTTATTGAAGAATTTGTGAAAAAGGCTTTATAGAGCTGAGGAACGAAATCCTGTACCATGTTTTGTGTGGGATTTTGGATGGAGATATGGGCTTTACTCCCTAATAGTATGGGAATTATGGCTAATTCAGTCATGCTGGTGGGCAAGAAGTTCAAATCTCTATTCAGAATTTAAAAAATGAGAGTACAGGAAAGATTTTTTTGGCAATCAACCCATCATACATCTCTCCCTGGGTGTTAATAACTTGTTAATTTGTAATCATAAATTTTTGCAAGAAAATAATGAATTCCTTTTATTTTAGTGCCATTTTATCTTGTAAGTAGTCTTTGCTTTTATGCTTAAAAATGTTGTGGGATGCATTTAATCCAATCTTCAGTTTACAACAAAACACAATAATCAATTCTGAGTGGCCTGCTTCAAACAAACATTCCACTTATCAATAGATCTTGAACTGGCTTATTAACTGGTCAATTTTGGTGCAATAACAAGGATCTTGCATGTTTTCTTTTGGAATTAAAGTATATGATTGGAATGAAGATGACTGGTAGTTTAAGGAGAAACTGTAAAGACAGAGTAAGCACTTTAAAAAGGTCTGTGGACAACATACACAAGTTTTAAGTTCTTCATACAAATATTAAAATGCTGTTGAATCACAATAAAGTAGTTGAAGTATGAATGATTTCACTTGTCTATCTTTTCTGTGATAAACGTATTTTTAAGTGCTTACATCATTCAACTTTTGTGCATATATTGCTTTATTTCAAAATTTTAAGGCTAGTGATGTAAAAATGAATCATCTTTGGAAAGTCTTCCCTGCAATGTCATGAAAACTGGTTTTAGGGAAAGAAATCCAACTATAGTTTCATCTTTTCAAAATAAGATTTTTCTTGGTTACTAAGCAAAACTATTCACGCATGTCATGATTCATATGTGTGAAGAAAAAGTAGAATATTATATTAATTTTATAATTCAATGGTATGTTCCAAGTTAACATAACTCTATAAAATGAAACAAAAAGTATTCGCTAAATGAACATAGTTGCACAACATTTATTATATAATTTACTAATAAAAAATGTACAAGATATTTTCAAGTACTGTGGTCTTTTACATCATGTTCAGCATTTATATAAACTTGTTCATGGTGAGAAATTAACAGACATTTTATCAGCAACATATACTTCCAATACATGGCATTCACTTGTAAATATACTCGCAAATAATTAACTCACAAAAAGGTATCATTATTGAAACAACTTTATTACATTTGATTACGAAAAAAATATTCAAAATTCCTGATATGAAGCAACAATATTACACTTCATTTGCTATAATTATTTAACTCAAAAGATAAAAACCAAAGTTCATAAAACAAATTACAATTATGGATCCACTGATGGAGTAAGGATAATGTTAGTCACATCAATTTCTATAGTGGCAAATATTTACATGGATTTCAAATCAAGCTTGTCAGAAGTGTTCAATTCTTGTACGTTCCACACTTTTATTTAAATTATGTTTACCTCAGAAACATTATGGAATAATCTTTTAATGGTCTTGATAGATCATTATTGGTCTTCTTGTGTTTCCCAGTTAAAATATTTTCTGCTAACATTTAAAAAGCGTAATTAAACTAAACAATTGTAAAGCATCTCTAGCTATATCAATGTAAGCTAGCTAAAACTTAAGCATTGTGCAAAAAGAGTAAATAAATGATTGTCTAAGCTCAGCTGTCTGAAGATGTAAGGTAGTCAAATTTATGTTAAAGAATTAATTCAAAATGGATGCACCTAAATTCTGCTTCATATTTCTGTATGTAGATCACACTCAAGTTCATCTGTAAAGTTGGACCAAAGCCCAGTTTAATTGTTGGTATTTAGACAAAAGTACCAACTAGCTGTTGCCAGCTAGGTCAATGTCAAAAGTAAGTGAATATTTATCAACAGAACTGCATATAACTAGAAATTAGACTAAGTCAGCATCTTAACCAAGTTCCAGGTGTAAAGTCTCTGCTGAATGAATGGTTATTTTAATTTTAGGTCACAGAACCTAAGTCTATCCATATGTCTGTAGCTAGTCTCATCACAACCATCTAGATGTTTCTAACTGTAGTTTAGCTGGATTAAGTTGAACTAGCATTTAAGTTACAGGCAACAAATTTTCTTTCTAAGATTATATATTTGTGCTTCCTTTGGGCTTGGGCTTATTGAAAAAGATCTTGATATCACCACTAAAGTCTGCACTCACAAATACATATCCCACATGTTGTGTAGATTCGGTTTTATCAAGTTGTCTCATCACTAAGTTAGGGCTAGGAGCAAATACTGCTGTCGTCACAACTGCACTGTGAGCTGAAAAAATAAATATATCTTAATTAGTATCAAATATTTTAATTAATTCTTGTAAGACAAGCCAATCTGGAACAAATTTTAAAATTATTTTGTTGGGCTAGAATGCATAGAAAATGAAAAACAAATAATAATACTCATAGTTAATAACATAAAGTATTGCTTTGTATAAATGAAAGTGTCTCACCAGTTTAAAAGATTAAGATAGAAAAGACTCCTGTTTTTTGGACCTTATTTGACTTGTTTCAAAAGGGGTAAGTCACTGTGACCAACCTTGTAGCCACAAAGTAACAATTAGAGTTTCCATACTATAACCTTTAATAGGTTTTGTGTATCTTCATAAAATTTGGAAAGTTTTTAGTAAGCATTACAAGTTTTTTTTTATATACATAAAAAATCATATTTTTTAATTAAGTATTTTGAATAAAGATTTGTCCATGGATATGTGGATCCAGAGTGTTGACTGCTCTAAGTGCAAAGTGATTTTCATGTTAAGATTAAAAATAACTGTTTATGTGAAAATTTTCAAATTTCATTTGCATAACCCCTGAAACCTCAGTAACAATTTATATTCTATCAGTTATTTTCTCTACCATAACTCTGTAAAGACTCGGTCTATTTGACCAACTTTGTAACTCCCATAAAAGATATGAAACAAATCTAATAATCCTTTTTTTCTTTCTAGGATGGTTACATATTGTAACAGAAAACCATAGTTATTTATCCTAAATAGCTTAAAGTTCGTAATAGCCTACACCTGTATATACTTATTTTTGTTTTATTGCCCTTTGAATCATACCTAACTAATAATCCAACCACACACACATTGTAATTCACTTGGCAAACACATAGCTTACTTTAACGATAAATGATGTAATGCACTAGCTGCTTTGTGAAGAATTATTATTACTATTTTGTCATTATCTTACCTAATCTAACCTAAAAAGTTTCTAATTTTTACATTTAAGTTACTTTTATAACAATAAATAAAAAATATACCTGAAAAACAAGAAATATAGTATTTATATTTGATTTTGTTATTTTACTATTGGTTGCCAATGAAATTTAAGCCTACTTCTTTTTATAATGATGGTACTAGAACACAAAACTTTTATTTACTTAAATAATGCATCTAAGAAAACAGAATAATGACCTACAAAAAACAAAATAAATGTTCTATAACTATTATAATTTAACTGGCTTTCTAACTAAGGCAAGAGGGGCTTAAAATAATTATCTAATCTGCTTGATCTGAACCCCTTGAGATAAACTTTCAAATTGAAAATGAAACTGACAATAGTTAGTAACTAAAATAACATAGCATTATATGTCATTAGATAGATTAAAACTATGTCTTTTTATTGTTTAAATATAATACAGTATAAAACATCAGAGAGAAAGAATTATTGGCAATTTATGAAAGAGAGAATGTAACAGGTGGGTGTAGCAAGCAAGTAAATAAATAAGATTGAATGCTATGAAGATTAGACTTTGCCTTAGTAATATCTATATTATAATGAGCAATTTACATTATATTCCCTACTTCAGAGAGAGGTGATAAAAAAAAATTAGAGAAGGGGAAAAGACCTAGAGAACAAATGTCACAATTTTTCATACTAGGGAGAACTGAGTATTTAAACAAATATTTCCTTATAATATTAAGAACTTAAACTTATTTGACTTACTTGTAAGGAGAGAGTTAATAGATATTTTGCATTTTCATGGTAATTATACTAAAAATAAATCAATATACAATATTTCTAAAAGATTCAAACAATTAATCAAAAGAAATTGGCAGCAATTTTATTCAGCACTTTATGAACCTTGAAATCTGGCACTAGTACAACATTGCATTTTGTATCTATATAATTAGCAAGATTCTTTTACAAAGAAGTAAAACAAATTTTCATGTTAGTGAAATCATTGCAACTAAAAATCAACCTTTGATTCCTTCCCAGTAAATATTGCGATCTCTACGGGCAGAGGAAAACTTGGAAAAGTCATGACTGGTTTTCCAAATGTAGATAAACTGATTTTCAGATCCACTGATGATATATTTTCCATCATGACTGAAAAATAAAAGAAACAGCATTTAATAGAGTTGTTAATAATGATTTTGCTTTAAATCTTTAACAATTTCAATTTATAAGATATGTAATATTAGAACTAGGATTTACTTGTTTTCAGTGTTCAGATTGGCTTATTTTTTGTTTTATACATATGTATTTATTAAACCATACATTTCTAGGGGTATTTCATCACTATCTTCACACAGTACAAGTCTGTATATAAATCTATACAAATGTTTATACGATTTAATTTTTTTTGACAAGTAAGGCAGGCTGAACTGGTAACATATGTGTTGAAAACATAATTTAGTAAACAAAAATTAGCTTATAAATATTGTAGTTATTTTAATTTTTAAAAACTATGAACAAAATTATATCAAATATGTAGAAAAAAAATTCTGAGCTAACATATTTGAAAGGAATGTCCAATTGTCCAGAAGAATGTAAAGAAAACACAGGTAAAGGGTCCTCAGAAGGAGGTATGGTATAAGCTAGTCAGTCAAGCCAGTTAAAAAACAAATCAAAAAAGCATGTAGTTAACAAAACAAGGAGTGAAAAAAAAATGGACTTCTTAGCTAATGGCATTCTTTAGAGAGGAAGCTACTTATTGCACAATCTCTATTTGCAGCAAAAATAACAAACCAATCATTATTCTTGACTGTTTAATGCAAACTGGAGTTTATTACAGGACATTTTAATACATGTAAATAAAATAACAACCTATGTCTCCAGAATGTAACTTTATTAGCTCAATATTTCGCTATTACAGCTTCGTCAGGAGCTATCAATTTCCTACCAGTTCACTAATCCAGTTCAGTCTAAATCAAAACACTGTTAACAGTAACTTGATTTACTGTTAACAGTGTTCCAATTTAGAATGACATGGTAGGAAATTGACAGCTCGTGACAAAGCTGTAATAATGAAATATTGAGCTAATAAAGTTACATTCTGGAGATAGAGGTCATTATTTTATTTACATTTATAACAACCCAATCACTAAGTAGAGTGAGGAAGGATTAAACTGATGAATATAATTTGCTGGATTTTATTTCACTCAAATAATACAAATATCATAAAACTAGTTTGAAAGAAACAACATCAGTTACAATAATTATATGAGACACAGTCTAGAAAAAAAATCTTGCTGAGAAAATCATGACATGTTTAGACATATTATGTATCAAAATGTATTCAATAATACTTTTCCTACTTAGGATTTAAACCTTAAACTAGCTTTGTTATTAGTAATTTATCTTACTGTTTGTATCTTTGTCAGTTTTAAGAATATCTAATATCTCGAAAACATTTTGTATATGTCAGTATGGATTCCTCAGGTTGGTTGAGGAATATTAATACTCAAAAGCCTGTAAAATAAGATAATGTAAAACTATAACTTCATCTTACCTGAAGCTTGCTCGAATCTGACTACTTATGTTGGTATAACCTTTGTATTTACAGGTGAGTGACAAATCTCTTAGATCATACAGTCTGATTCGTGAGTCATTTGAAGTGACAAGAATCTATAGATTGTAAATGCCAGAAAAAAATGTAAACCATAAAATATCTTATATGTCATTAAAAGTAATATGGATAGATGAATTAATCTTACTAGAATCTTATTCATAAACGCTACCAAGCACCTATTTTAGAAATTATGTACAGATGTTTCGAAAAGACACCATCTAATTTCTAAGTCATGCTGGGGCAAAATCCACTGTGAGACTATAGTTTCAAATTACCTGGTGAAGCTTTTATAAAATGGTACTGCTGAAGTAATCACTTCAACAGAATAAACAAAAAGTTATAATCTGTACAAGGAAGAAGGGGTGCTCTACAGCAAACAGATTGTGAGAAAGAAAATAATCTGAGCTTTTAGACATTTATGAATGTTAACTTTAGAAGCTTGGAATATTAAAATAAAAAATAGTCAGTTGAATTTCAGTTTTTGACACCACAAATTTAAAAATTCACTCTTTTAAAATAATCTGAGATGGAAACAAACATGTACAAAGACTATAGTTTTACTACTTTGTTTCATATGTTGACAAGTTTGATAAGTGCAGATAAAAAGTTTAAATATTTCTGCTCCTTGGCCTGGCCAGCAGAGAACAGTAATTCCCTGTTCTTTAAGTCATCATTTTGCAACTTGGGCTGAATAAGCAGAAACCTTATCTTTCACAACAATACCACCAGTAAATAGGTACAAGATTTTGCTGTAGAATTGTATAGTAATGAGCAACAGTGTCTATCCCTCTGCATACCACCAGCTGTGATCATTCAGCTGCTTAAATGACAACCTATACTGTAACAAAAATACCACCTCATTTCGTTGTAGTTTGGAAGAAAGTTCAATGAAGTTCTTGGAGGGATTGTTGCCAAACCTACACGTGTCTACTCTCCAAAAATTGTAGAAATTTGGATTTGTTAGTAAATACTACTGTCCCAAAATTCAGGAGGGTTTGATAGCACCTATAAAGCCCACCAATGTTAACATACAATGCTGTCTGAGTGAGGAGTGGCTTTTGTCTAAATACTCTGCCATTGTAGGTCATACTAATGGGGTACAATTGCTCCTGTCCTGCAACAGCAGTAGTAATTAGATGTGAGGTATTCTCCACACTTTTCCTCATAACTCAAAGAGTCTATACTGTTGGTCTGAGGTACCCATATTGTTATTTCCAAGATGTTTACCATGATCAATGTTACTGCAAATGGCATGATAATTTTAATCAATTTTGACTGTTCTCCTAAGATAAATCTAACCATAAGACCACATAAAAATGCAATTAATTTTTAGGGCCCTTTGTTTGCAGCATGGCTGTTTCTATGTACTGTGGTCTTCACTAAGTTATACCCGTATTTAATACTTTGAGGTTATTTGCATACGACATCACAGAGATTGACTTTCATTCTTGGGGAGTGTCTATTTATTTAGTAATAGGTTGTGTACATCAAAACAAAATTCTAAATCTTGACATTTTCAGTTATAGTTTTTATTTTGTAAGTGATTTGAGGGAAAATATCAGAGAAGGTTTTTTAAAAATATAATGTTTTTTTTGCCCTCATAAAAAATATGATACCAAGTTGTTTTACTTCATTGAAATATATTTATCTCAAAAAGATTCAGAAATAAATATTAAATTTATTAGAACAACAACCTTATCTTCTCCGGGCATGGATTCAATTCCACTGATCTTCCGTCCCTGAGCATTTTTTCCCCGAGTAGACCTAACGTTAATCTGGGTGTAGTATTTCAGTTGCTAAAAAAACATTTAATACTCAATATTTCTAAAAGTTAAGAAACATAGTAATCAATACACAAGTCTGTAAGAGGCAACTAACATGAGTTACTATGTAAGACGCAATCTAGAGTTGAACATGCATTTTCACATATAACTTTCATTACTCTACTATCCACCAACTATGGTTTATATTTCCAGTGTATAGTATAAATTTGCTTCACAAAACAACTGATTATTTATCCAAAAACATACTGGTATACTTACTTTGAATTTAATCATTATACAAGTTCAATAATATTTGAACCTATAGAATTTTTTCAGACATAAAGCTTTTTATTGATGAAAACTTTTAAAACTTGAGAATTTATAAGACTTTCTAATAAACAAACTTGATGTTTAAAAATTAAAATTACAGAAAATAATCAGACACAAAGGCCCTAGTTACTACTGAACTAACCTCAGTGTTATAAAAGATACAACGACCATCATATGAACCAACAACAGCAAACTTTCCATTTTGGCAGAAACTGGCAGCTGTGATGAGTTTTGTATTTCCATCCACTTCATTCCACAGAGCAACTTTCTTATCAGGAATGTTCCACAAACGAAGTTTCCCATCTAACGAACCACTCAGGAAATACCTGTCATCCTAGATAGAATTTTTGTTTTACTATTGCTATATAAAAGTGACAAATAATTTAAAATGCCTAAAACTATATATGAATTTTGTCATAAGCCAATAGGTTACTACAGTAATAAAACAGAACTCACACACTAAATTTACATGCCTAAGGTTTCAGGGCAAATAATTATCCACATTTTTATTAGTATTCAAACTGATTGGACATTATATAATGAAAAACTAATTTACCATTAAAAAATAAAGAAAGAGCTTAATCCCTCATACTGTCATATTCTTACATAAAGGGTACCTCTAAAACCTTATGATAATTGTTTAGGACTGAAAACTACAATACAATTCATATAATAGAACTACAGCTGGAACAGTTTGACTAAACCTTGACAAAAACTTATTTGAGTGAATTCAGCTACGAAATGCTAATTTAAATTGTGCATTAATATAAAATAATAATGATAGAGAGAGAAGGAGTCATAGATTTGTGATAGACAATAAAACACAAAACTTATTATCTTGCAACAAATCTTGTGCTAGAACCACTAGGTTTTGATAACTAAGTTTTTTACTTCATACACATTTCAGTTGTATAGTATTACAGTCATCTAAACTGAACTGTCAGTTAAAACTCATACCAAAACACAGTAAGAGAAAAATAAATAACATTATTAAAAATTAATAATTTGATATTAAACCACACTATGACTGAAGGAAAATGAACTAAGAAGCGACACCATTCTCAAGAACAAAACAAAAGGAGGTTATGAAAAGTAAGCAATTTGTAAGTTTAAGAGGATTCTGCTCCATTGAGAGGTGTAGTTAAAGCTTTTTCACTTGAACTTATGTACATGAAACCTTCAAAATCAGTTCATAATGCATTAACAGAAATGTACAGCTTTTTTGTTAATAAACATCAATCTTAAGTTTTCCACAAATATCTTACAATCTACTAATTATCAACAAACACTATTCACTTTACAATTCAAGATATTTACCTGATCTATTTTCTACTTATAAAATACTGCAATAAGCAATACATTATTGAAACATATGATGATTGATATTACCTTTAAAAAAAAACTCAGCATAAAACAGACTTGTAATAAAACACAATTTATGTAGAAAACTTGTCAAAGTTTCACATGATATAATAAAATTACATTTTAAAGTATTTTTCTGCCACAGAAACTAAGGAAAGTTTTTTATTATATCTGAATGTAATATGTAACTGTTATTTAACTCTGATTAACATAACTAGTATCCTACCAGTACATAAGATTTGTCATAAAATTTGAGCTCAGTAACTTGTTTGAAAAAAATATGATTACCAATATAAGATGTTGTTTTACAAAGAATCACATAAGCAGTAACTAAAATAGAATTTTTAGACAAATTATAGTAAACATCAGAGGCACTGGAACCAAGGTGCTGTAACACCCCCACTTTTACATAGTTGACTTATAAAGGAACTGTAAATTATATTGTTATATTAATTTTCTGGGGAGCATGCCCCCAGACTTCCCTAGATTGAGCTGCCTTTGGCAGCATAGGAGCTGCTTTTAGCATCTCTTTGTACTTTCAATCTCTCATTGTCAAATCTAAATGTTTAGCCAAGCTTTGCAACTCATTCCTACACTACTGAACATTACATACAAAGTTAAAGTAATATAGGGATCTCTTAAACAAAAGTCAAAATGTAAAAACTAATTGATGTAAGTAAAAATCCAGAAGTAAAAGCTGTTAATGCTAGAAACACTTGGCAGTCTGAATTATTAATCATGCATATCACCATACTTTCTTTCAGTATGAGTTATAACTAATGATTCATTTCAGATTAATTCAACACTATACCACTGTTTACTAAACCACAGAAATACTTTCTTTTCACCACATATGGATAAGAAAAATATTTTATCTAAAATATTGTGAATAACATATACAAATCTCTTTCATATGTTGTATTAAGAATTAGCACAAAGGAAAGGTAACATCTTATTAGGGTTGACTGTATTTAAATCTCTCGCCACAGGGTCGGTCGAATTGACTGACTTCATAATCATTTTTCACTTGTTATAGATCATGTACTATAACTTTTAATACAGTAAGTGTATCTTAACATAATTTGGCAAGTTTTCAGTAAACATTACAAGGCTTTATACACAAAAAATCAAATATTTTAATCAAATACTTTTACTAAAGAATTTTGTACTAGTCTGAGTGCAAAGTGATTTTCACGTTAAGATTAAAAAATACTTTTCTTTGATTTAAAATCTAAATTTTCATTTGCATAATCCTTAAAACCACATAAATAAATTTCAAACTTTTTCCAATAAAACTTTATATCTTATCTTTTATTTTCTCTACCCTAACTCTATAGAAGGACTGACCTATTCATCACAAAAAAAGAATCTAAATAAATCTAAATTACCCCTTTTCTCTTTCTAGAATGACTTCAAACTGTAACATGAAACTACATTTATCCTAAATAGCTTTAAAATCATAACAGTATACATCGATTTACATTTACATTTTACTGTTTTATTGCACTTTTAACAATGTTTAACTAATATTCATAGTATATATAGTTGTAAATCACATGGCAAGCGTGCAGCTCATGCTACAGTAATAAATTACATAACACATAGACTATTCCTGAGCATACATCATGAAAAATTATTATTATTTATTTTGCCTTAACTAAGCTAAAAAGTTTCCAACTTTTACATTTTAGTTACTTTTATAATAATAAATAAAGAATACAAATGAAAAACAAGAAATAAAGTACATACCTGGATCATCTTTACTTTTTTTTTTTATATCAATCGTACTACTACATTAAATAATTTTTTATTTAAGTACCTAACAAACCAAAGAATGCAGAATATAACAAGCAAAATGCAGACAATGCCCCACAACTATCACACTTTTTCTGGCTTTTTAACTATGTGACAAGAGCCATTTCTCAAAGAGAGGATGTGACAAGTGGGTGTAGCAAGAGGAGTCTGATTTTCTATTTTATGGTTCTGTAACCAAATAAGTTTGAAGGCTATTAATGTAATGATTTGCATGAACGATGACAACATTATAATAAGTAATTTTCATTAAATTTCGTATTTCTTGGAGGGGTGGTAAATAAATTAGAGAAGAGGGGATGCCTAGAGAGAAAATGTCACAATTCTCACACTAGACGAAATTCCAGATTTTTAAAAATATTGCCACATAAAATTAAGAACTTAAAACTTGTATACCATTAAAATTTGATTAGCTATGTTTTATGCCAAATTCATTTGTATACCATGATAAGAAAGTAGTTTGATTAAACTTTGAATGTAACTCACTGAAATCTTGTGACATGCACAGAAAAAGATGCCTGTAGTGAGAGGGTTAAACATGCTCCATATGAAATTATACAACAAAAATGGTTTTGCAATTCTTCAAATTAAAGCTACATGAGCAATAAACATACAGATCATACATACTCTAGGATGAAAGGCTATGGCAGTTACAAAGTCAATGTGTTGAAAGCAACATAAGCATTCCCTTCGAGAAATGTGCCACAATCTGACAGTCTTGTCCATAGATGAGGAAAGGATAAAGTAGTTCTGGAAAAAAAAAATGTGTTTAATGAGAATTATTCAGAGCTTTTAGTTAAAATACTAGATTACCTAAGTCAACAATGATTTATCTTAATCCATATATCATATTTTGTAACTCTAAATTTATATTAAGATTTATACAATTATCTATTGTATATAAACCTTTTTATAAATACTAAGAATAATGAAACCTAATAATATGTCCTGGAAAGGTGTGCATATGAAAACAAACTCAATGAAACAATTCAAATTTGTGAAGTTCAACTATTGTGATAAATATGACACTGTTAGAGGAATTATGGTATAGGTTTAGTGGAATTCCTTAAAACTTCCACAAACAAGTTTTAGTGCTATAAAAATACTTTAAATACATACATACATACATGTGGATGTTCTTAATACTATTAACAAATTTGGCTGGGAATGCTGTGTTTTTATATTATATTAGTATTATTTTCAGCCTTGATATCTATAGTTCATTAGTTGCCTGCATTTTGGAAGCTAAAGCCTACTTCAGTGGAAAAGTTTTACTTAACATGCTTCATTAATTTCTTTCTTAAATGTTTCCTTACTTTCTAAGAAGTAACCTTCCCACAACTAGCTGTAATGAAACAATGAAAGATACCATAGATGTGGGACACTGTGGGTATGATCACTTGTATCTGATTTTCTTGCATCAAGTGAGGCAAGCATGTCAAAGTTAAATCTGATATATGATGTATCCACACCACTTGTATTGAATTGCTCTGGTTTTGTTACTATATATATAAATAAAAATATTTCCAATACTTTTCTATAATTATATTCAGGATTCAACCAAACATACAATCATTTTACTCACTTTAGACCATGATACATCCAACAAATCAGCTGTATGACCCTCATAAGTACAGAATGGCTTTGACATGAAAGGCCCATCAACTGTAGACTCTACAGCTTCTTCTCCAACCTGAAATATTTAAAGATCTTGATAAATCAAAGATATACTTGAAAATGTCAGTAATTTCTAAAAAACATTGCTCATCAAATGACTGAGATATGTACAATTTCCTTTGTTCTTGCATTGTTTCCTTTTTAATTGTGCAAATAGATTATCTCCTTTCCAATAACAACATCTGTCTGCATTTAAGTAAAACAAAGAAAGCTTTTTTCTTATTGTATGAACAGATTATCAAGCTATAAAATGTTAAATTGTTATTCATCTAAGAAAGATCACATTTCTTTTTATGAGACAATGAAGTTATCATAATTTATTGATATGTCTAATGTAAATCTGAGAAACAGCTGCCCATAAAAAATATATGTTTCAACTACAACTGGCTAATATGATATTCCTCTGTTGTAACAGAGTAAATTAGGTTTTTCTTTTACTGTTATAAATCATATTACCATACCAGAATATTTTTTGGAATAAATTTCAGAAAAAAACATAAGTTACTCCTTACCGCTGTCACAGTTTTGCTTGCTTCTTCTCCTGACAACTGGGATGTTAAACTCTCTTGAGATGGGGCTGGGGATACTCGTGCTGAAGTTTAGCATTTTAAATATATTAAATTAAAAGCATAAATGCATCACGCAAGATGTTCTGAAATGTGTAGACCATATTTATGATCTAATTTTAATTAAGCTCTATGTATAAAAATACTTTTGGTATATAACAAAGATTACATTTTTCAAACAATAACAAGTTTGGCAATATGCATGTGCACAAATCCCAAAAATTTACAGTTTGCAAAATATTTCTTCTTAGAAGAATTAAACAAAAATGTGAAACTTTAAGAAGAGGTTCACTTTATAGCTGTTAAGTTCAAACACAGACTTTGATGACTTTCTAATAACATTTGCTATTGTCATTACTATAACTTTAAAGACACAAGTAACTATAAAATTGACAATACTTTAGTTTTTATACACTTAATAATATATGATCTTCTCAGCTAAATAGTATTGTTTTGCAAAACATGAAGACTTTTACACAAGTAAGTATAATTAAACATGAGATTTAACAAAAAAAAAGTGTATGACATGATGTTTTTTATACAACTGCTTTAAATATCATTTTAGCTAACATTTCATTGCTAAGATTACACCAACCTGTACATGCAAGTTGGTCGATTTTTCTGCAATATGCACACTGCATATTACTGTTACATATCTATAAAGCACTAAAATGGCCAAGAAAAATACATATATACAGTTTAGCAAAACCATTTTTTTTCTTTTAAATGAATTACTGTATTAGCAGACATATCCCAGCTTCTTCAACCATAAATGGAAGAAGTTTTTATAATTACAAATCTTGTTGTTTCACATTGAATATTACAATATACTTCTTTTAGCAAAAATGCTCATTCAGATAGACACTGATCTGTGAATGCATACCTTCATCATTTCCACTGAGCTCTTGAAAGTGGTTTAAGAAGCCAATTGTGCTTTTCCAAATAATTTGCCATTTTCTATCAAATTTATATTCACCTTTCCATCCAAGAACATTTATTGGTTTTTCACAGAAGAAAAATAATGACACCAAATTTTGAAAAATTTGGGGTTTCTTCTCTAAAATTACTGCCAAAATATATTTACAAGTGAAATGTTGAGATTTCAAATTTTATTTAAATTTGTTTTGGATAAAGCAAAAAAGAGAAATTCAAAACTGCTAACCCTAATGTTTTATTTTTGTATGCTACGAAAAAGCAATATGTTGACTTAATGAGTGTCCTTCCTTATATATTTATTTTATTGAAGTAATTATTTTGGCAGTGAAATTGCTGTACACAAGAAGGTCACCTTTTGTAATTACAGACAACAGTTTTATTACTTCACATGAAGCCCGTGGGCAATGTTAGAGATTTATATTTATCTGTTTTGAACAGATGTCCACAAGTCATAAAAGAAGTAGATAGAAAAGTTTAGATATATAAGATAAATATCATCTATATTATATTAATTTTAATGTTTTAGATAATATTTCATTGCACCATTTCTTCGAACAAATTGGCTTAGTACATGACATTACTAGGTCTACTATAGTCTATGCATAAAAACTGGCTTTCAGGTCAACAGTTATAGGGGGTCATACACAATGATGTAGTAAATAGCTCCATTATATAGTGTTCTTATTCTATCAGAAATCCTAAATTGACCACAACAACCTAACTTGTATTTTGAGAGCCCACATAGTTATCATGCCATGTATTTGAACGGTCCGTGTTTTACACATGGTTTTTTTTTTTAGTTATTAACTTTTATTAATGCAAAATAGCAGTATACTTGCCACTATGCTGGAAATTGTTAAAAACTCCACTAAAAAATGAATAAAAAATGTACCTTCAGCATTATACTTTTGTCTCATGTCATCAAAATATGCATATGAATCCCGCAGCACCCAGATTCGCAATACATGATCTTGCCCAGCTGTGGCCTGTCAATAAAACAAATTATTTTAATCTGTTTCTCATATTTCTAAAATAACATAAGTTAGGTTTTAAGTAGAAAATTTTCTTCTTTGCATGTAGTTATTCAACTTCTAGTAAAATGATACGATCAAGTGTCTATGTGTCTATCATTTGGGATAACAATACAGGGCTACGACATTAAATGTATCTAATATGAATATTTTTCTGAATATCAAATGATAGTTATATTTCATTGATTGAAAAAATCTGAAGTAGATAATATAATATCTATGTGTAATTTAAAAACTTATTAATCTATGTTATTCCTAAAAAGTCATCCAAAAAATGTAATTAAATAAATAATATATATATTAAATAATGAAATTATTACCACAATAAAGTAAAGAACCCTATAATCAACCATATACTACAATCTGTTTACAAAATACTTAGAAAAATAGTAAAATACATTCAACAGTTGTAATTCTTATGTAAAAAAAAAAAGTCTAATCTGAATACTTGGCTGTTAACTACAATGACCATCGAAATTGGTTGTTTGCCTTACAAAAAACATTTGATACATACATATATAGCTTTATACACACTAATTAAAAATAGTATAACACTATCATACTGATAAATATATGTTTTACTTACTAAAAGCCTTCCACAAGATGAAAACTTCATAGTCCAAATAGCACCCTAACACAGAAGATACAAATTATTAAATACAATAATCAATAATGATTCTATAGTCTTGGTAATTTTATAAGTTCTTACAAACACCAGAATTTTGCATTATATATATATATATATGTTTGTTTTTTACTCTTCACGTGGAAATCAGTTTTAACTTTCTCAATATGGGCTCAGCTGAGTTCGTGACCACAAACTGAGTTTTATAGTTTCCATACTATAATTTCTAATATTTTTTGTGTATCTTCACAAAATTTTGCAAGATTTCAGTAATCATTAATTCATTTGTAGACAGAAAATCTGCATTTTTAATGAGGTATTTTCATTAAAAACTTTTCCATGAACATAAGGAGTCAAAGTGATATTCATGTTAAGATTAAAAATACTATTCTTCATCTCAAAAATATCACATTTCAATTCTGTAAACTTGAAAACCTCCTAAATAAATTTCAAACATTTTCTTCAGTAAAATTTTATACTTTGTCTGTTATTTTCTCTACCCTACCTCTATATATGAGGTTGGTCAATTTTACTGACCTCATAACCACAAAAAAAAAACAACCTTTTTTCTTTCTTTCTAGAATGACTTGAAATTGTAACATGAAACTACATTTGTTTATCCTTAATAGTTTTAAACTTGTAACAGTATATATCTGTTTATACTTATGCTTAAAGTTTATTGCTATTTGAACAATGTCTAACTAATATTCTTGTTACAAGTTGTAAATCACTCTATCAAATTACATAATGCTCGAGCTACTCACGAGCATGCTTCATGAAACTGATCAATATCATTACTCTTTATTTTACCCAATCCAACCTTATCTAACCTAAAAAGTGTCTAATTTTTACATTTTAGTTACTTTTATGATAATAAATAAAGAATATACATGAAAAACAAGAAATAAAGTGCTTACCTGGGTCTTTTTTTTTTTTTATACTAGTGGTACTACTGCACTAAATAATTGTATATCTAATTAAATAATGCCCCAAAGAACAGAAGGATAACATGCAAAAAGCAGACAATGACCCAAAGCTATCAAATTTTTTCTGGCTTCTAACTATGTAACAAGAGCTGTCAAAAATTCAGCTAAGTTTGTTGAATGTGTTTTCGATTAAAATAAAGTTTGAAATGGAAGTGAAATAGACAATTCTCTGTACAGTAAAAAATGTAATATAATAAATCATTTGATAGATTAAAACATTGGCTTTTTATTGTTATATATATATAATATAATATTACACATTAAGAGAAAACTATTGGCAATTTCTGAAAGAGAGGATGCAACAGGAGGGTATGGAAAGAGGGGTCTGATTTCCTATTTTATGGGTCTGTAACCAAACAAAATTGACAGATATAAAAATTATGCTTTGCTAGCAATGACAACATTATAATGAGTAATTAACATTAAATTGTGTACTTTTCAGAGGAGTGGTAAATAAGTTAGAGAAGAGGGAGATTGCCTTATAATATTTAGAACTTAAAACTCGCATAATACAAAAATTTGGATTATTAGCTATGTTTTATGTCCAGTTTATTCGTATACTATGATAAAAAAGTATTTTAATTAAATTTTGAATGTAAATCACTAAAACCTTGTAACATGCACAAAAAAGATGCTCATAGTGAAAGTATTAATTTGAAAAACAAATATACTTTCACAGCTGACACATTTATCACTAGACATCATAGTTTCTTTCCAACAGCACTGAAGATCTTTCTGAAAGTAACACAACTTGCAGTAATTAAAGTCTCAAGTCTGAGAGGTTTTAGAAATCTGGCAAATGTTTAGTAGCCAACACAACAATCAAATTGATTTTTTAAACTTATCACAATTGAAGCTGTAATGTAACATTGCTCTAGGAAGGAGGGTACAAAAAAAAAACAGTACAATGCAGTACTTTATATTAGGTCATCAAGAAATTAATGTAGTGT